ATGGTGAACAGAGAAAGTTAAGCTGATAATCGAACAGTGAAAGGACTGTTCGACCAGCATACCTGCCGATATGCTTGGTGGCAGCATCTTCAGTATAGTCGTTGCAAAAATATAACATGGATTTCTCCCTGGGAAAAATAGGAGAAGGAAGTGTTTGAATGATACCAAACTGTCGAGAGACCAAGTTTGGTTGATACGCGATCAAGCTCAAGTGAGTCTTGGAGCTTTTAAAGCGCAGGGGCATTATTCTAGGTGTGAGAAATGCTTCCCACATTATTGTATGTTCTTCGACCTGAGGGTCACCTGACGACTTAGGATGGGGCCTCGTGAACCATTCTGGACCAACCTTTCGTCGAGTGAAGGGAGCCATGGTCGAAGCAAATTCTTTTCTTCTTGCAAACATCAAGACGAAGTTTGCAAAAGTCTGTTGAAGCTCCAGCCCATCTTCAGTCGGGGTCAGTAGAGCTAATCTGGTGCCTTCGATGCGCCTATTTGCTATCTCCGGAGCTTGCTCATTTATTTGAGTCTTCTGAGGTAAGAAAGACTCGAAAGTGGCATTGAGCCACAGCTGAAGTAGCCAAAAAGGTCTTGCAAGCAGCAGACTGGCTCTATTCTCGATGATCTTCAACAGAGTCGCTCCGCTGCTGATCGACTCGTACAGATTCGCCAAGATTAATTCTGCCAAACAAATATTTTGGCCATGGTGGAGTTGGGTGGCGAGGGTGACCATCTTCTTTGTCACCTGTAAAGACTTTGTGCAGAAAACAAAGCGTGACAGCCATAGGGCTAGAAACGCGATATGCTCTACATCCGTCACAGTGGCTGTCGACTTATCATATTAATGGTTGATATAGGTGGTGTAGGTGGGTTTCGTGGCTGAGAATCCAATATGATCCTCCGACATTTCCTCTGGGTCGAAATAATCCCCAGTGGGTCGAAGGCCAGTGATGGCAGCCACGTCGAAAAGCGTGGGTGTTAGCATTCCACAAGGAAGGTGGAAAGTGAAATGAGTGTAATCCCAGAAAAGCAAGGAGGCTATCAACATCTCAGGGGAGTAGTTGAGACCCGTCTTCGACAACATAACCAGGTCGTATATCCCCAGGTCCTTCCAGATCGAAGCCTGGCTTTTTTCCATTTTTTCTAGCCAAGCACTGTAGTCAGGAGTGAGGCTAGGGTTAGACCTGAAAGCCCTAACACCCCTATTGAAGAAGCGAAGATCTATCTTCTCCTTAGAGGGATCTTCGTTGTCCTCTGCATCTTTTTTAGAACACCCAACAGGTTTGAGCTTTTCAAGCACTGGAAAGAAGCTTTTGATCTTCATGGCTTCATCGATGCATGGGGTGAGCGGGCCAGACATGGCAAAGATTTGGTTGGAGTATCCAACCGGAATCATGAGTTGGTGTGAATAAGCTTCACGTTCAGTAGTTTCTAGGGGTTCAGGAACCCTTCGTTGGCCTGTAGGGGTAACTATGGGGACAGTTGAGAAGATCTTGGGTTTATCATTTCTGGAAGGGATGTTAGAACTAGGAGCGGTAGAGGAAGCTGAGGCCATTGTTGATGTTAAGGTTGAAGATGAAGTGAAGAACAAGGTGTTTGCAAGTTTGCAGAGATTTTGTGTTCAACAGGGAAGTTTGAAGGCAGGATAGCGTGAAAAAGTCCCACAATGGGTACTTGGCGCTATTTATAGTGGTTGGGAAATCCCCAAATTCGAGGCCATTTAATGTTGCAGAAGATAGTGGGACACGTGGCGTCCCCCTGTTGATATAGCCGTTCTGCAGAAATGAAAGGGTGCAGCGTGCGCCCTCGTTTTTGGGAAATTGTCATGATGACAATTTGTGAAAAGACATTTGGCACGCTGCACGCCGTACTGAGGTGACATCTTAGGTACGGATGAAATGATGGCTTTTTTCTTGGGATTGTCAGTGGTTGGTAGAAGACAAAAAGTGCACAGTTTAATTTGTGGCTAAGAATGAAAAGACAGGTGTCGAATGGAATTTCAAAGAATGCCTTTTTCTTTTCAGAGTCGAAATAAGGCATTCTTGGGGGGCAATTTGTTGGCTCCTAAATTCGACACCCTTGTTTTTATTAATATCAGCCATTAAAGCTGAAGGATGGTTTCGACCAGCTGGGTCTGTCGAAATGCCCATCAGAAGATGGCAACGTACTTAGAGAATTTCTTCTAAGTAGGAATCTTGTTGCCTTCGACGTCGAAGGTGCTTCTCGACGAAGGTGTTCGATTGTTCAGAGTGGAACGGTTTGAGATTCAAACGTTTGGAGGGAAAACGGTTCCCAGCAGTTACCAAGTGCAAACGTGCCAAGATTTGGAGCGTCGAACGCTGTGAACGTGCCAAGTGGAGTCATCTCGAAGCAGTGTAACTGCCCGACGGTTACTTGGGATGTGTTTAGTATAAATATTAGTAGTTCACGCAGTTTTTCGCGTGTGTTCACAATTATATACAAGTCACTCATATAGATTCGAGTACCCAGCGTGAGAGAAAGAATTGTTGAGAATGTATGTGTGAAACACCACTTTAATTAATCAAAGTCATTTATTTTCCAGAAACTTTACTTGCTTTCTTCTTTACTTTCCCAGTCGAAGCATTTCATTTCAAGCATTTCTTTATTTTATCAAGTTCTCTTCTTCATGCAATTCACATAAAGCTTCTTTATTTTCTCGTCATTTAACCATTACCAAACTTAGTCAAAACCCCAAAATCAACCATGTCTTAGGATCAATCTGATCGATCCTGCGAGTCACCAAATAAGTAACCTTTTGGAATATCAGCGGTTGTTTACCAATACCCACGGTAAACACCTACAAGAAGATGTTTATATGACAATACATGATGGAGTCACTTGCACCAAACCTAACCAAGTATGCAAGTTACTCAAAAGTATTTATGGTCTGAAATAATCCAGTAGAAAATGGTATGAAAAATTAACATCTCTGTTGATTCAGGAAGGATACACACAATCCTCCTCTGACTATTCTCTTTTCACACTGAAAACTGCCACTGATTTCACTGCCCTGTTAGTTTATGTCGATGATGTCATATTAGCAGGTACTTCAATTCATGAATTTCAGAGAATCAAGACCATTCTTGACAACAAATTCAAGATCAAGGATTTTAGAGTTCTCAAGTATGTTTTGGGCTTAGAAGTAGCACACTCCAAATCTGGTGTTACTATTTCTCAGAGAAAATATTGCTTAGATCTTCTAACTGATTATGGCTTGTTAGGATCAAAACCCGCAACTATCCCCCTTGATCCCTCCATCAAACTTCACCAAGACAGTGGCAAACCATATGAGGATATAGCTGCATACAGGAGGCTCATTGGCAGATTTTTATACCTCAATACAACAAGACCAGACATCACTTTTGCCACTCAGTAATTAAGTCAGTTCCTCCATGCTCCAACTATGACTCACTACCATGCAACATGTAGAGTGGTTAGATACCTCAAACACAATCCCGGCAAAGGCCTACTCTTCCCTAAAAACTCTGAGGTGCAAATTTTGGGGTACTCTGATTCTGACTGGGCAGGATGCATAGATTCTCGGAAATCTATTTCTGGTTATTGTTTCTTCCTTGGCTCATCTTTAATTTCATGGCGTGCCAAAAAGCAACAAACCATCTCAAGATCGTCTTCTGAGGCAGAATACAAAGCCTTTTCTTTTGCAACTTGTGAACTACAGTGGTTACTTCACTTATTCAAAGACTTACAAGTCACTCCTACCCGTCCTTTATTGTGACAGCCAAAGTGCGTTCCATATTGCCTCTAACCCTGTGTTTTATGAGAGGACCAAACATCTTGACATCGATTGCCATTTAGTTAAAGAAAAGGTGCAACTTTGAGTCCTTCATCTTTTGCCTATTCTATCTCAAGAACAATTGGAAGACTTCTTGTCCAAGGCATTGGCCACTCCCAAGTTTAACAGTTTTATATCCAAGCTGGGCATGATTGAGATATATGATGTTCACCTTGAGGGAGGCTATTGAAATATTAAAGGCTGAGATTAGTTTGATATAATGGCTGTGAACAATAGTGTATTTTACATATGTTATAAGTGTATAAATAGTTGATTGGCCATTGCTTGTATCTTATCCAAAATGAATCAATAAACGATATTCTTTTGTGATCCTCTAAACTGTTATCTCTTTTCCATTTCTATTACATTTCTGTTACTTTTATGTTACAATCTTCTTCAATCTTGCTTACTTCAATAGTATATAAATAACTTTGAAATTAAAAATTATATATTTAATAAAAGAGAAAAAGGATGGTGCATGACTGTGTAAATTATTTTTACACTATCAACTAATGACAATCATATATCATGTCTAGTCAGATTATAAATTTAAAATTATTTATATGATTTGATATTTTAAAATATTCTGATCAGATGTTTGTGTAATCTCTTAATAAAATTGTGAGATGGTACTTAAAATTGAGCAATTGCAATTATTTTGGATACTGCCACCTCAGATATTATGTGTCGTGGCAAAAACTGAATGATGTAGTAAAATGTGTTGGAACTCTTTTTTAATATATATATATATATAAATATATAAAATAACTATTGAAATTCCGTGTGTTCGTAAGATATTATTGTGTCACGCATAATTGCGATCAGTCAATTCTTTATTAGTAAAAAAACTGTAATTAAAAAATGTGAAAATAGTGTTAGTAAAATAAATAGGATAGTTAAAAAGAAATATAAAAATAAAATAAAGATGAAGATAGATGTAATATAGTCAAATACACGATGAAATATAAAATATACATATTTAAATAAATGAGTTTTGATGTTTGGAGAAGGTAGATGTAATATTAACCATTTACTCTCCTTTGAACTGCTTATTTTTCCAACATTCTCTTTTAAAAATATTATAGTTCAACTTGTGTTACAAAATATGCTGCATTTGAATAAGATAAACTTAAAAACTTTATAAATATATAAAAATAGCACTCTGTATAAATGTCCCAGGATTTTATTCATGAGCCAACGTGACAAAACACCATACTCTCCCCAGTACATATTCTATCAATGTCTTCATCCATCATTTCACCGACCAAAGTTTCAAACTTTTTTATTAAACAAACCCCTTCGTGCTGCTTATTTTTTAGTATCAGCTGAAGCCTCCATCGACCGCAAAATTGTTGATGTGAAGAGAAAGCTACATGGAAATGATATTTCTGAAACACCAAAGGAAATACCGATGCAAAAAAAGCCAAAAGCCTTTCCAGTGCTGGATCTTCACATATTTCTGTTTCTTCCGACAGTGAAAGGTATATAGTAATTTATATAATATAACAAAAAAAATTAGGTTTAGTTCTAATAGATTGTATTTGTATGTTAGAGTTAATTTTGTTTCCAAATCAGACCGTGAACTAAACATTTAAGGTTTATTGATGTTATATGATTGACGGTATTCTGTAAAGCATGTGGAATGCTTAAGTTACAGTGAAAGTGCAAAATTGTTTTCCAATATACGGCTCGGACGAGGAAACATATGATGAAGAAGTGATGGAGGAAGCTGCTGATAATGAAGTAAGGGTAGAAGAAATTAGAGGACTTGGAAGGTTTTTTGTATGGAGAAGGAAGATAAAGTCTGGAACGGTTGCTAGAAGAAATGTATTAGTAAGTCTGCTTGTATGCAAAAAGATTGTTGATTTACTTGTTATTAAATGTTGGATATTAAGTTAAAAATATTTTGATGTACAACAATTTCCCCAGAAACTTAGAAGAAAATGTCTTATGACTAGACATGGGAGGATTGAAATTGTTGATTCGGATACTGGTTCGAGGTACGACTGTGTATATTCATGGTTAAGATCAGCATTGTATATTTTCTCTCTCATGATGATTGGAAAAACTTTGAAACCTCCTTATAAAGTTGTTCAACTTCAAATGGTTTTAAAACATGTCCATCCAATCAATACTTTAAGCATTCCTACTGTGTAGCCTGCATCATGTCTGTTGTCATAGACAAAATCTGTTGTTCATGTTGTTTTCAATCTTTCGAATTTGCTGTGTAGCTTCAAACCTATAGGAAAATGGTTGTGTATTAGCTATTTTGTGTTAATATAGAATGATATGTGTTATCCAGAAGTTAGAAGAAAGAATTCGACGTGCATACCCGTCCATTTCAGGCATTTGAATATCCATGAAACATACATCAAACTGGTGAGGTGGTTTCAACATAGTGATGACTTCTTTTCCACAAATTACAGAAACCACAACAGCTCCATATCTTCATAACCATAAATTAAACAAGTAATTGACATAAAACTCAATTATAAGTTGCGAAAATGAGTAAGTCAAAGTATAAATTTGAAAGAAAAAATTTATATGAAGGATTTTGAACTATAATATTATAAAAATAATTTGTTATGAGGAATTGAAGTAAAAAGAAAAACATAGCAAAATAAAAGAAAAATTGTAACATTATAAAACAAATTATTAAAATTATAAAATAATTTGTTTGTGGCAATTATGTTTCAACAGGTTTTAAGTCAAATGATGTATATAATGTTGGGTATCAGAATAATATTAAATAATAATAACAATAGCACAAGTTAAATTTGAGAGTTGAGTGTAGGAATAAGAAGAAACACAATTGTAGCAAACTCTTGGATGATTAGGATGATTATGAATTACAATATTGATTACTCTATATATAATAGTTTCATATACTATTATAAGTAGATACTTATTATTGGATTCTACGTAATCTTTTCTGCATCATAGAAAACCAATGACTTATAATGCATTGAATTTTTCTACAAAATAAAGATTACTGTATGTCCTCACAATCTCCCACTTAAAGTAATTTTGTTTGCTTTCAAAAAAATTTTTACATCCCTTGTTAATTCCATGTTTCTACGTTTTAGATAGGCCATAAGAAGAATTGCACCAATAAAACTTGTCAGCGTTGATCGGCTTTGTCATAACATTTGTGTGAATCTTTTGCATGTCCACACTCTCTTCCTCTACTACTTCGCGGACGAAATGGTATTGAACTCCTATGTGCTTTGTCTTGGAATGAAAAGCTGGATTTCTTGCAATGTGCAAGGCACTTTGATTGTCACAATACACAATAATTTTTGGTTGTTTGTATCCGAGCTCTTCCAATAACCTTTGAATCCATATAGCTTCCTTGCATGCTTGGTGTGATCGGTGGATATGGAACTGACTGTTTAACGCTGGTTCGCGAAATGTCTCAGAAGCAAGAGTCGTCACCGTCTTTTATTTTCTCCAAATGGAAAGGACAAAAGCACAGAAAAATTCCTTATAGAGATTGCTCTCGGTTCGGGAGGTAGGTTATAGAAAGGGAAGGTGTTAGCACCCTTTCTATCCATGGTTATCCATGGGCTCTTAGATACTTGCTCACTTGTGTTTTCAAAAATGGTTTGTTTGCTTTTCAACTGTGGGTTTTTAAAAAGTTTCTTTGAAAGTTTCAGATCGACTCTTGTGTCAGAGTGTTTGAAAAATTGTTTTGAAAGCTTTTGAAAAGTGTCGGTGTGAAAAGATTGTTTGTTTGTTTTGAAGAGAGCAAGTATCTACGAGAACCTACCTACCCTAAGGAATTCGTCTGTGTAAATGTCCTTTAAAGTAGTGTCATCCCACCATTGAGAGGTAGGTAGCACCACCGTTGGAGATGTTCGGGTCAATTCGATGTTCGGGACATGGTGATCACCAGAGCAATAGGAAGACACCTTAGAAGCTACCCTCATGCCAGGTTCCCGGATCATGAGGACTTACTAAGACATCCTCTACTCGACGATCACCTTTCGAGGCAAGGCAACAGTGAGGCGTACCCTAGGGGTGGTGTGTGCGAATTGTGTGTCGTTTTCATTGGTATTTGTCTTGTCAGGTTATTGGTGATCTAACGTTTTGTTTTTATTTTTGTCATTCATTCTTGCATGCTTTGTTTAACAATTAAAATATTTGCGGGAAAAAATAAATCTAAAGCTATTACAAATGGCGCGGGTCCACATCGCCAAAATTAAACCGGACCCGATTTGACAGAAAAATAAATAAAGCAAAGTAAATAACGAAACTGAAAAATGTGAGAAGTAAATGTTACAGCGCTTTGGGAGAGGTACATAATTAAGCAAAATAAAATAAATATGCGAAATTAAACAATTAAGTCGAAAGGAGGGCGTTGGACCCTTTTTGCAAAATATGAAAGTTACATGAATTAATTAATTAGAATTAATGAGAAATTAAAATTAAAATTAAAGAAAAGGAATGTTTTTTGGTATTTTTAGTATTTTTTGAGATTTTATAGAAAAAGAATTAATTGCAATTAAAATGAAATATTAAACCTAGTTCTAATTATTTTTAAGTTATTAAGAAAATATTGAAATTTTTTAACCTAAATAAAACCCTAAGTTATTTATGTACAATTTAATTATAAAAATAAATAAATACATAATATTATGGTGGAAAGGAAAATTAAAAGGAATAAAATTTATCAAACCTAATTCTATGTTTTTTTTATATTTTTATTGTGAAAAGAATTAATATTGCAACCTAAATTAAAACTAAATTTATTTTACATGCAATTTGCTTATGAAAATAATTAAAATAAAAAATATTACATTTTTCATCTTTTCTGATTTTTTTGTGCATTTTTATATCTTGTAAACATAATTAATTAAATTAAAGCAATAAAATAAATAAAACAATAATTGAAAAAATAAAATATAAAGCAAAATTGCAAACCAGGGGGGGTTCAGGCCCCAATTGTGAGGTATGCCTTTAGAAATCCAGGCCCATTACTCTGAAGCCTTTTTTGACTTTCATGGCTTGCGTGCCTCAATGTTGACTAGGGTCCATGGTACTCTCCCAATCTCCGCCCTTGGCTTGATCTCAATGTACACGTGGGTGATGATTTTTGAGCGTGCATGATAGTCTTGACTTTGGGCGCTGCATGAGAATTCACATGGCAAAATAATATTGGAAATTATACAGACCTGGGACTCGAACCCAGGTCTTGAATGTTGAAGCAATGAGCGTTTGCCAGCTGAGCCACTGAACCTTTTTGTATATTTAATAAATAACAAATAGCATAACGTTAAACTACGCATTAGTGGGAAAACGCGCGTGATATTCAAAATAGCCAACCATCGTGCGCCACGAAGTCGTCTTCTTCGTTATGTTTATTTTCCTGAAAAAACAATTATATTAGGCAACGGTTTTGCGCGCGTCCTCTTAGGCCGGTTTCCAGGAAATAGCGATTAAGCCATCTCTAAACATAAATTAGGCGCGAGGGTCCTGTCTTCTTCGTCCAGATGTGCTAAGTTGAATGGCATGGGTCTGGAATCTTAATTTTGCCTTATTTGAGAAACCCCAATTTCAAGCTCTGTAAACCCTATAAGACAGTTATGGCATAATCGCGTATGGCTTGCAAAAATTCAATCAAACATAATGGTTAGCTTTAAAATCACACCAGGAACAAGAATCACTAATTGAAATGTCATGAAAATGCATAGAATATGGAATACGATTATGAAATTTTCATGGAATATGTTGAGTTCTGTATACCGATTCTTTGCCTTTTGATGAATGTTCTGGGTTGGAATATGATCAGTGAAGCTTCAGGAAGCTATTGGAATGAAAATTAGGGCTTGAATCGTCCTCCAAAGTTGATTTCAGAATTGAGTTTTATGGAGAAAATTTCAAGTTTGTAATGGCCTTTCTTGCGCAGCTTTCTGTGTATGGACATTAGGGTTGTGATCAGGCATTTGTAGTGAATCAATTAGGTTAAGAAAATTGGCTAGAATCTCTTGTATTCATGAATTGAAGATTTGATTTTTTCCACCATTATTTTCATATCTTTTTCATGTGCTTTTGTATCAATTATGCTCAAATCAAACCAAATCTTTCCCTATTGACCTATGCACGAAATATTGAAGGAAAAATATGCATGAAAAGATTTATTAGGTCAAGTTAGATATTTTTCATATATTTAAATGATTTAAATGAATTAATATAAATAAAAATTCAAATAAATAAATAAAAAATGAGAAAATACTTCCCTTTGGGCCAAGTGGTCGTGCACATGCTTGGAATGATGAATCATGGAAGAAAAATGGGCCCATTAGCAATTTTAAGTCATTTGGATCAAAGTTGACTTTTCAAAATATCCAAAACTTTCCCAACTTCCACAAGGCATAACTTGCTCAATTTTAAAGCTTTTCTCATGTTCTTGGGCATTTTGGAAAGGTCTTTGAGTCCTCTAACCAATGTCTTTGGTCCCATGTCATTTTGATTTACCAATCTCAAGTTATGGCCTTTGACTAAAAGTCTCTTTTTGTTGACTTTTGAAAATGACCTATAATGTTGAAATTGATAACTTTTTGTGAGAGCATTTCTTGGACTTGAAGTATGAAGATGAGTTGTAGGAAATGTCTTTCTCTTAAAAATGAGCTTTGGATGGAATTTTTCTGATGATCCATGTGAAAGTTATGCCCTGGTCAATTTCAGTTGACTTTTTCAGCTGTCCAAATAAGGAAACTTTTGCATCTTTGATGATTTCTGAGCCAAATTTTGAGAATCATGATCAAGCATTGATCAAATGATGTTTGTGGCTTCAAAATGATATGTTGACCAAAAATTTGAACTTTTGACTGTCAAATGACCATTTTGCCCCTACAGTTGACTGTAGTGCAATTAGGGTTTTGACTGTGCAATTTTGAGCTGAATGCCTTGAAACTTGATATGAGGATACTTGACCACATTTGTAGGCATATGAGACTTGATAGGACCTTTGAAAACCTTATTTCCTTGATCAGAACACAAACCCTAGTTTTGACTGTATAGGAGACCTTTGCACTGTGCAACCCTTGGGGAATTTTGTGACTTGACTTGGCAATTTCTTGGAGAATATGGGAGGGCAAATTTTGGGGTACAACAGTTGCCCCTGTTCAATCTTCTTAGACCTGAGGATGCAGATT